GCATACAAACTGCCTTTAATTCAGGAGGGCAAATTACTTCCCTGAAACATTTTCGGGGGGAGTTCAATACTGGTTACAGTACCCTAATTAAGACATGTCTTTATGTTGTTTTATTTACTGTCTACGCTTTTTTTTGACCGTAGATTCTACCACTATCGGCTATCAACCCCCTTGGTTGCTGTAGGTTTGTTTAGACTGAAATTACCTGGGGCTCCAGACAGGAAGGAGGTCAAGGTTTAGTACTTAATATTTTGCCCAGTTTTCACTGAAGTTTTACTGAAGTAAAGGGATGCTGCTACTAAAGTTCAAGGTGTTTCCAAACCACTTGCATTTGTCCATTCATCTCTTAGAGTGCAGTACACACATAAAGAGTCTCCTAGGGGCGCCTGGGTGGCTCAGTTGTTAAGCGTCTGCCTTCAACTCAGGTCGTGATCCCAGGGTCCTGGGATCGAGCCCCTCATCGGGCTCCTGGCTCCTGCTCAGCGGGAAGCCTGCTTTTCCCTCTTCCACTCCCCCTGCTTGTGTTCTCTCTCTCGCTGTGTCTCTCTCTGTCAAATAAATAAATAAAATCTTTTGGAAAAAAAATCTCCTAAACCTACATCAACTCTCCATTTCTACATGAAAGCTTCCTGTCCCTTCAACTACTCAGGCCTGGAGGCTTAAACAAAATCCTTTCCAGATTATTGTTAATGCGGGGCCTGATTCTGTAGCAGCTGTTGTTTTGAACAATATGATGCCTCTCCTCCCCCCACCCCCGAGAAGTTGAAAGTGCCCATTTTGCAACACTTCCAACCTCTGCAGACTCAGAGAGCATAAAACGGACTGAGGGATGGACCTAAGACTCCTGTTTGGGAATTCTGGGCACAACTTAAAGACTATTGAATTTAGCCACTTCCTGACATTGACTTTCATAGCAAGAGTTTAATTTGGAGAAAATCTGCTACCTCAAATAGCTAAAGGTATTTATGTGGAAAATTTTCCAAATGATTGACTTCACTGTGTTGCTATTTTCTTTCCCCATGAATATGTGAGTATTTGGCTTTCTCCCAGGAGTTTTTCTGCATCACTTCTCTTGAGGCAAAGACAAGTTTCTATCCAGATTGGGAGAAGAAAGAGGCACCAAGAGTTTCCCCTTTTAAAGGGAATTATTATTTGAGTTAAAACCATAGCAGCCGTATAAATGAAGAATTTGAGTGTGTTGCCTGTTTGCTTCAATTTTCTGTGGTAAATCCTCAAGGTGGCCAGAGTAATCTTTATCATCACTTTGGAGCCAACCTAAGTATGATGGGCTGCGTGCTCCCTGCAGCACCCCCTGTCTCCCTCCTCCCCATGGCGGTGCCAGTTCGCTGAAGGGGTTGTCCCCGCTCCCCCGCCCACCTCCACCTCGTGGGCTCCACTAATTCTTCAGCCACCTCTCTTCTGGCTGCTCTTGCCAAGATCACCCATGACTCCCTCCTATTTAGCCCAGCGACCATTGGTGTTATATCAAATCTTGCGGTAGCATTTGACACTGTTAATGCCACTTTCCTTCGCTGCTTTGGCACTGTTTCTCCTCAGTCTCCTAAGATAGTTTCCTCTTCTGTCCCTTTCCTAAACGTTTCCTTGGCAATCACTCCTAGACCTACTTTTCTTATTGCTCCACACTTTCTTCCTGATTGGTTCCATCTGCTCCATGGCTTTGATTCCATGATGTTGATAAAGATCCCCCATCTACGTCTTCAGCCCAGATCTGTGAAGGCTGGTCTATGTTCAAACTGAGCCTAATTTCCTTCTTTTCCCGATTTTTCTAAGTTCCCAGTCGCAGTGAGGGACACCGTCGCTCATTGTGCAAGAAAGAAACCTTAACTCCTTTCTTTATCTCTTCTGCTCTCCCATAAAATAAACAATTCCAATTTATTCTATTTCCTACATAAATTTTAAGTCCATGTCTTCTCCTTCAGTATCTCCTCAATATCTACCTCCTACCAGTTCCCTAGATTAGGAAACCATCAACTTGCCTGTGAACACCCCTCCCTGGTCTTGATTCTTTACAATTCATGTCCATATTATTACAGGAGAGGTTTTTCTGATCACCACATTTCCCTGATCAAAGCCCTCATGCTTGCAAAGCCCCAGTCTGGCCTCTCCTGTGTCTCCAGCCTCAGCTCTTGGCACTCTTCACTTTGCATCAATCACTTTTGGTCATCCCGAATATTTTTTAGTTCTTCAAAAATATTGTGCTTTCTCACCTCTGGGCCTTCCTATGTTATTTTTCTCTGCCTGGAACATTCTTTCTATGCTCTCCCCCTCTGCTCCTTTTTCAGGTCTAAAATTCGGAGCACTTCCTCTTGGTTGCTCCCTTGAATGCCCCAAGTCTGCAAAGGTGCCTCTCCCAAGGCCTATATCACGTGGCCTCTTCAGAGCAAGGGCCCCCCTTTGTCAAAATTGCCTGGGTCTTTGTATCCCCACTAGACTGCCAGTTCTGTGAGGACAGAAGCCTGCCTCCCATGTTGAAATTGTATCTGTAGTACCTGACACAGTGGTTGATGCAGAACAGATGCTCAGTAAACATTTGTTGAATGAGCGAGTAAGCCTCAGAGTAAACCGTGAGCCAGGCTTCTTCAGACACAGGTTCAGTTGCCTGACTCTCGTTTTTAACTTCTTCCTCACTAGTCAAGCTCCCCTAACTGGAACTACTATTACTTTTCCACAGCAGACAAAACTTTGTTGCAGACAAAGCAACCTATATATCCCAAAGGAAGAGAAACTTTTCAAAGGTTCTGAGAATTAGCATATGGTAATTATCAAATCCCAGGGTATCTTTTAATTGAACCTTCACAGTAGTTCACTTAGCTTGTACTCTGTACATAAATTGAGTAGAACCTCATTAGGGAGGTTGTGTCGTGCCTTAGTGAAATGGAGAGAATGAGCAGTAGCTTCCCATGACATGGAGGCCTTGGAGAAAGGGAGCAGTCTGGTTCGTGGCCTCTTTAATCTGTGTATCTGACCACCGACTCCTGATATGGGAGATGAGGGGGAGGACAGCCACGGCCATCAGAGGAGTTCAGGATCTGCCTTCTAAGTCCGGTTGTGGGTTTTGTATTCTGCAAGAGTCTACTGCGTGCTTCCCTCCTTTCCTCTCCTGTGCTGCTGCTTTAATGTCAGCCTCAGGAGCAGCCTGGTTTTAAAGATTTTTTCCTCCTCTGAAGGAACCAGGTGACTGCCAGGCTCAGCCTCCCAGTACTTCCCTGGGCTTCTTTTTCATTCACTCACTCTGCTCAAATGACACAGCTTCAAATGCCTTACTCTGTTCTAGCCATCTTGGACTCTTCCTTTCTCAGGACTGTGACCAGGGGGCAAAACCTAAAAGTTGCCCACTCTCAGATGCCAACCCTATATTTACATGGGCCTTTCTTGACTCACCCTTGCCCTGGCTTGCTCTCTCTCTCTCTCTCTCTCTCTGCCAGGAAGGCCAGCCTCCCCTCCACCACCATGTCTCTCCAAATGCTAGTCATTGAGACCCAGCTCGGATGCTGCCTCCTCCCTAAAACTCTAGCTGAAGCCTCCCAGTCTTTCCCACAATCCAGCAAATCCCCGTGGCCCTTTTTTATTCCTCTCTGAAGGCACTGCATACCTTGACTCGTTCTCAGGCCTCTCTTTTTGTCTCTATATTAAACTACAAACTTCTAAGGGCTGTCTTTTTCTCAATGTGCTCATAATATCTAGCACAGGGGAAGCACACAGCAGGTATTCATGTCAGTGAGGCGAGTGGAGTAATCAAGGGGGAGAAGAGAGAAGAGCATAGTGGCTAGTAGAAGGGGGGTGGGAGGGTCAGGGTCGGCGGGAGATCTGGGGCCAGTCTCCCTGGGTTTAATCTCTGGCTCCACCACTTTCTGGGTGTGAGAACATGGGCAAGTTACATCACCAGTCTATACCTCAATTTCTTTGTCTTGAAAATGGGATCAACACTGGTACTTGTGGTGAAGTCTAAATGAGCTAAAACACATAAAGCATTCAGCAACAGACTTGATACATAGTGAACAGCTACATCAGTAAACCTCAAGATCCAGAATTAAAGAGGTCTAGTGAGGGTATATCTATGGAAAATGCAGGTATACACACTAAGGACAAAGCACATTTGTCACTGATGTCTTAAAGTTAAATCTAAACCATCAATAATGGAAGACCAAGGCAATGGCCTCATACTCCCTTGAGAACCCAAGTGTCTACTTTTTTAGAGAAGATAAATCTCATCCCTATAATTCAATAGAAGAGTGGCTTGGGCAAGAAGATGGGAAGGGGGGATGTCTAAAAAAGGCCGCAAAGGAGGGTCAAATGAGCTTGGAGGTATTGAAATGTGCTCTGGTTTAGTATCTGCTGATTTTAAGGAGAATGGGAACATAATGCTAACGGAAAATCGTGTTTTTGCTGCCATCTACAGTCAAAGTGCAATTTTTAAACTTACACACACACACACACACACACACACACACACACACACAGGGCATTCTTGACAAAATGAGTGACAATATAAAGTTTGGTTTAAGTTCCAATAATTTGGCATATTATCATAGCATTTTTTTTTACTATTCTTAAAGTATGTGTGTTTAACTAGTAACGTTGCCTTTTTAACATCTCAAATTGTGTAAAACTCCTCTTCAGAAAACTGCTGGACTAGTCACTCAGGAGTGAGAATGTCATCTGTTGGGTCGGATTAGCTGCAGCTGTGACAGGCTACAGACAGTTTGAGAGTCAATACAATGATTTCAGTGAAGGAAGAGATGGATTGGATATTACCCTACGTTTTCCTGCCCCCTGATCTGCAGTTCTCTGGTTCTTAGAATTATTGTAGCTTGCATTTTATACCAGTGTATTTTGTTGTGTGGCTGTGAGAAATCAACCAAAAACAAGTAAAAATAAATTATGACTGTCATGTCACCTCTGACATGCCTCCTGCCCCTATCTGTATAATTTCCATAATTATTATATTTTCCCAACATCCTTGTGCATTATTTTTAAAGGGTTAAATATAGACAAGAATTACTGGAAAAGCGTTTGATGGAGAAAAAAGAAGTGGCCCTTCAAGAAGCTCATGAAGAAGAAGAGCGAGAGAGGCGGCTAGAAGCCCTTAGGAAACAGGTGTTTTTAATTTGGAAATTTTCATGGGTGGTTTCTAAGTGTCCATAACATAATTAGTAGGCTTAGTTCGCAACCTCTGTGATATAAAATGTAACTTTTCCAAATTGGGACACTGATCTTCATTCCTGGGAGCAATTAGATTTATGTTGAACAATTTCCAGTTTCTTAGTATATTAAAATAACTTTATCAGCACCTTTCAAAAAGCTCTCCCAAGACTTAAATGCATCCATGTTACCTCTAGTTTATTAGCTGAAGAGTATCCACTTAAAGGAGCGAAACTGCATCTACCATAAGGATTTTATGCTCTCAAAACACCTGGTGGAGCTAGAGCAAGGTAATCCTCTTTGGGGTAGGAACCTCTGGAAATACCCTACAGTCAGCAAACATGTGAAAAAACGCTTTTTAAAACTATTATTTTTTTTGTGAGAAAACCTCCCATTGCTTTGCCTAGTAAAAGTAGGCAAAAGTTTTTAACATAGACAGCAGATGGCAAAGGCAGGAATTTAAGAATTTGAGAAATGTGATAAAATAGTTTTACTTGATAATTTTTCAGAGGTTTTGATCTGGAAGTAATTAGTTCAACTCATAAGCTCCAAAGTCCATTGACACCATTTCCCTGCTGATTGGAAATGACTGTCTGATTTCCCTTCCATGTCGGTAGAGGCAACATGGAATCTTGGATAAAACTTGGCCTCTGGTGTCCTTCAAATCTGGTACAACCTGGTTCGCTTCCTATTGGCAGAGGAAACTTAGATCTTTTACTTAACTTCCCTGAGCTTCGTTTCCTCCTCTGAAAGATGGGACTGAAAGATGGGACCTCCTCTGAAAGATAGTATCTGCCTCATAGGTTTGTAGTGATGTGTTCACAGTCTAAAAATAATACTAAGTATAAAGCCCTCTTCTAAATGTTCTTAGGTTTTATCCCATTTAATCTCTACAACAACCCCATGATGTATGTATTGTTTCTATTTTATAGCAGTATTCCTATTTTATAGAAGAGGAAACTGAGGATGCACAGGGGTTCCCCAAAGTGACACAGCTAGTAACTGTCAGACTGGATTCAAACCGAGGAGGGCTAGTTAAATGGCATAGTTTAGAGGAAGTGTAAATACATACAACTATCATATCATCATCTTTGATAAAATAGATGACAGAAATAAATTCAAAGCATAGGAATGTAAATCCTGGTCATCCTAGATTCAACAAAAGTTAAATTATTCAATCATTAGCAAATAATTACATACCATGGCCTTCTGGGGACAAAACTTTAATGTCATTATTACTAAACACATTCTTGTTCACAATATAACTTTGATAACTACAGAGTCTATATGACTAGAATTCTTTCCATCTGTGAACTCTTTGAAAGAGGAACTGTGCCCGTTACCTGTAATCAGTGTTTAGAACTATAGTATAGGACATTTTGGCTAGGAAACCTATAATAATTAAAGTACGTTCAAACCCCAGTTATGTCATTATGGTTTCTAAATGGCATTAAAAATGCCATTTTCATTTCTTTTTTTTAAGATTTTATTTATTTATTTGACGGAGACACAGTGAGAGAGGGAACACAAGCAGGGGGAGTGGGAGAGGGAGAAGCAGGCTTCCTGCTGAGCAGGGAGCCCGATACGGGGCTCAGGACCCTGAGATAACAACCTGAGCCGAGGGCAGACGTTTAACGACTGAGCCACCCAGGCGCCCCCCAAAATGCCATTTTCTTAATGCTAATTCTTGACTTTAAGAATTAACAGGCAGGTGTTACTAATGGTGCATATGATTTACAAAATTAGTGGCTTCTTTTCAGTAGGATACAGGTTTGAATGATTTCAATTATCATAAAGGACAAGGGCATTTAGGTTAGAATGACTCTACAGTTTTTCAGTAGAAGGGGAAACAATGGTTTACAACAATTCCTGGAAATCTAGTTGCTTAACACAATGGGATTCACCCATCTCGCCCAATAATGCCAACACAACTCCACTTTACCCATGAGTAATATTCTTTCGATTGAGCTTGATCAGATTAAACTTTCTAGTATATTGTTGTTACCATGGGGTTGTTACCATGTCCATATGTTGCTAGCAGATAAAAGTTGATGTTTTTTACTTTTGGTTACCTTTAAGGTAGTTCAATATGTAGGTTTTCTGGATCAGATTTCCTGTGACTTAGCACCAGAAAGATAAATTTTTATCTAAATTTAATCCTAACTGTAATAATTCAATCAGTAGCAAACAATATATATCATGGCCTTTTAACATGTTTTGTTTTTAAATCATTAACTCCTTTGTGGATCTCTAGGCCTGGCCTGGCTTAATATTCTGTCTGCCTTCCTTTGGTTTTATCTTCATTGAAGTTAGGAAATTTTACTAGACATTAAACATTAATAGTGTTCCCCAGAAGTAGTTAGCTTGTGTCTTAAACCAAGTAAGACGTGCTCTTTCTTCTTTTAGGTTGCTATTGTCGCTCAGTTTGATCCTGTTAGAATGATGTCAGATACAACCGCATCAAAAGCAAGGATGGGTATTGGAATTGAAGAAGAATTTATTCTTCAAAAACCACTCTTTACAATGAATACATACAATGAATACCAGGTAATTATGAGAATTAGCATGATTAATGCAAAAGCCATGATGATAAGATTCATGGAAGTATGTGTTTTGGGTTTCAGATTATTTTCAGTATTTACATTTGAATGCCACATGGATTAGCATAATTTTTACTGCTAAATGATAGCACACAATTACTGCCCAATTCTTAATGTTATAAAATAGTTGATAGGTAATCCTGGAACAGTTTATCTGAACATATTATGAATCTGTCACTGAAAATTATTTTTTAAATTTACATTTTTATGTTAAAATTATTTTTAAAACTTATAAATTTTACTTTAAAGTTGTGTTAATATTGTATTTTGTTTAAATGTTTCTCTATCAATTTGGAATTTGTTTAAATTCATAATATAAGTCCTATTAAAGCAACAATTGATGATACTGATAAGACACAGCAGAAGGAAGCTTTCAGAAATTAAAATGAGTTGAAGATAATACATCAGAGCTAATGATAAAAGAAAACATTTTCTGTGGAAAAGTATTAAGGTGTTATTTACCCATTTCCAGGAATTTCTGACTCCTTTTAGTCTGTTACTGAGAAGGGATTTTATTTATTTTTTATTTATTTTAAAGATCGAGAAGGATTTTAAAAAGTCTTTTTGGATGGATGGATGGATGGATGGATGCATGGATAGAAGGCAGGAGGGAGGACAGATGAACGAATGGATGTCACTGAAATTAAGGGAGAAAGTAGTTCCCCCTAGTTTGTTAGTTTTACAAATCTAAGGAGAGAAGCTTAGTATTTAATTATTTAAAAAGTAAGAAACTCCATTCACCCACTGACATAAATCGAGTGTGCCTCTTTGTGAATGGTTCACTTATTAATTGGACAAATATTTATGGAACATACACTGTATTTGGCACTGTGGGGTTGCCAGGGCTACATCCTAAACAGGATGGACTTGTTCTCTCGGAGGAAGTGCGCAGGGCAGCTGGGTTGGGAGGGAAGGTAGCCTGTATGGCAATAATGCTCTGGGGTGAGACTACACCTCCATAGTGGAAGTCTAAGGGCCGCAACAGTAAGGAGAAGGGAACCCATGGAAACGCTGACCAGGGAAGTCAAAGTGTCAAAGAGGAAACAGCTACATCTTAGTCTAGGATCCTTAGCAGCAGTAACAAAATTTATTCCAGGTGATTTAAACCAAATACAAAAAAAAAAAAATGGGTTGGGAGGAGGGGTGGGGTGAAAGGAGAGGGATTCATTATAAGGATGTAAGTGTGTCTCCAGAAGCCAAAGCAGGGAGAGCAGCTGGGGTAGACAAAGAATTGGTCAGAAACTGGAAAACGCTCGGGTACCTGGGCTGAGGCAATAAAGGGTTTCACCAAGCCAAAGAGGGTGGAAAGTGTAAAGTCCGTGGTAAGGGTGGGTGCTGGGACATGAGATTGGAAACATAGGTTAGGATCAGACTGAAAAGTATTTTAGCACTTGCTTGCTAAGACATTATCCTGTGCGCACAGGCGAGACTCAGAAGCAGGTGAATTATATGATCAGATATGTTTTAGCCATGTGTCCTGGATGGAAAATTGGTGGGTTTGGGGGGTGTGTGTCAGATCCTTGTCAGATGGCAGAGCCCTCATAAACATGGGAGGGAGGGGCATGAATGGCTCTGAGGGAGTAATGACTGTAAGCTAGGCAGCAAGTGACACTGAGGAGAGCCTGCATTCTGGATTCAAATCCACACCCACTATATACTGGCTATGTGAACTTGTGTAAGCTATTAACATCTTTATGTCTTGTTTACTTCATCTGTAAAATAATAATTTGTAAGGTTCTTATGAGGATTAGGATAATAAATGTCAATTGCCTAGGATATTGCCTGGCACCTAGAAGTAATTCAGTAAATTATAATCATTAGCTGTGGCTGCCATTAACCATATAAGAATACAGAAGTAAAAACAGACTTAGGGAGGGAGAGAACTTGTTTTGTTCTTTTCATGTTTGGGGTGAAGATGTCTAGAACACATTTACAAGAAACTGATTGGCTGCTTCTGGGGAGGTGAATTGGGGAAATGGAGGTCAGCTTTCGAGGGAGATCTCCATTTCACTTGATATCTATTTTAAAAATAGGATAATGAGACATTTAAAATTTTTTTATTAACATATAATGTATTATTTGTTTCAGGGGTTGCACTCACCATAGCACATACCCTCCCCAATGTCCATCACCCAGCCACCCCATCCCTCCCACCCCCCTCCACTCTGGCAACCCTCAGTTTGTTTCCTGAGATTGAGTCTCTTATGGTTTGTCTCTCTCTTTGGTTTCGTCTTGTTTCATTTTTCCCTTCCTTCCCCTATGATCCTATCTTGGTTCTCAAATTCCTCATATCCGTGAGATCATATAATACTTGTCTTTCTCTGACTTATTTCACTTAGCATAATACCCTCTAGTTCCATTCACATCATTGCAAATGGCAAGATTTCATTTTTTTCTGATGGCTGCATAATATTCCATTGTATATACGTATATCTACCACATTTTCTGTATCCATTCATCTGTTGATGGACATCTAGGCTCTTTCCATAGTTTGGCTATTGAGGACATTGCTGCTATAAAAATTGGGGTGCATGTGCCCCTTCGGATCTTTGGGGTAAATACCCAGTAGTGCAATTGCTGGGTCGTAGGGTAGCTCTATTTTCAACTTTTTGAGGAACCTCCATACTGTTTTCCAGAGGGGTTGCACCAGCTCTCATTCCCACCAAGAGTGTAGGAGGGTTCCCCTTTCAGGATAATGAGACATTTTAAACTTCACAAACCAGAAATTGAGAAGACAGGTGATTTCAGGAGATAATTAAGGAGCACACAGGTGGAGCATGAATCCTTGGAAGTGGATGAGGGGGACCACAGAGACTATATCCAGCAGAGGAGAAACTAGATCTAAGGCTCAACTACGTTGCTTCTCAGACACAAATCTCTGTATTTTCAACTTGTATACATCATTGCCTCTAGTTTCTGTACGTCCTCAGTTGCCAGAGTCTTTTGATTCTTCCCTTCATAATGTTTGACAGTTCTCTCTTCCTTGCTACCAGCCAAGCTTAGGCATTTATTACTTCATGTGTAGACCGCCGTAGTAGACTGCTACTCCAGTGTTCTACCCAAACTGCCCTGGTCCCAAATTGACCTATTTCACCTCTGAATTTGCATGTGCCTTCCTTTCCTGCTCTATCTCTTTTCCTCCTTGCTCTGCTTCATAGAAAAATAGGGTGAACATTACAGTTAGCTCAAGTGCTGCTACTTACCTGAGGTCATCCTGTCTCACCTGCACCGGGAGAGGTACCTCTGTGTTCTACTATTCTTGGAACACCATCCACATGTGCCATGAGCTGTAGTTATCTATATACATTCTTATTACCTCTATTAGCTTAAGAGCTTCTTGAAGGAGGGGCTGCTTTCAACAGCTTATTATTCTATCCTCTAGGGGGACTTCAAGTCCATGTAAAATGCCTCATTAGCTAAAATCCGTATGTGACTACCTTATCATAGCAAACAGCGTCTGTTGACATTTAATATTCGTAGAAGAGGAAAAAGGCCCAATCAGCTATAAATGAAAATAGAAATTGAGCCACTCATATTTCAATTCCCACTTAGAATCACATTGGCGGAAACATTTTCTAATTCTGCTTGAAATAGAAATCCAGCCTTGGAAGGAGAGTTCAAGTGATTTTTTTGTTGTTGTTTTTTAAAGTAGGGACCATGTGTTTAAACACAATTTACATATTGCTGAATGACTGAGAAATTGAATGTTTGTTTAAAGACCAATGCACAAGGTTGTGGTTTAGGTTTATTTTAAACAATGATTGTCTATACTTTCTAATTCTAGCTATCAGTAATGAATCAATGATAGTACTGAAAGTAAATTTTCCCCCATCTTTTAATAATTTCAATGTGTTATATTTTGATGAGTAGGATATTCTCTACACCTTGTGTTGGAAACTACAGATATACTGGAAAATGATAATGTCAAGAATATTTGGACATTTTCGGGGCACCTGGGTGATTCAGTCCTTAAGCGTCTGCCTTTGGCTCAGGTCATGATCCCAAGGGTCCTGGGATGGAGCCCCGCATCGGGCTCCCTGCTCAGCGGGAAGTCTGCTTCTCCCTCTCCCGCTCCCCCTGCTTGTGTTCCCTCTCTTGCTGTGTCTTGCTCTGTCAAATAAATAAATAAAATCTTAAAAAAAAAGAATATTTGGACATTTTCTTTTCTTTTTTTCTTAAGATTTATTATTTATTTGAGAGAGAGAGAGAGAGAGAGCATGAATGAGCCCAAGCAGGGGGAGGGGCAGAGGCAGAGGGAGAGAGAGAATCCACAAGCAGACTCCCTGCCTGAGCATGGAGCCCAACTTGGGGCTCCATCCCAAGACCCTGAGATCATGACCTGAGCCAAAATCAAGAGTTAGCTGCTTAACCAACTGAGCCACCCAGGTGCCACTGGACATTTCCAGTCAAAAAACAAACAAACAAACAAAAAACACCTCAACAGAATATAGTCAGTATATATACCAAGTTTATAGGCATCTACCCAGAAAAAACAAGTTAAACAGCTTGAGGAAATGTGGAACTAAATGATAAAATGTAATTTAGTTCAATGAATTGCTACTTATTTAAATGTATTTTATTTCTACAGATAATTTCTGACCCTAGACTCCGTTTCGAGTTAGCGCTTCGAGAAGCTGGACTTCATAAAACATTTTATGCCAAAGAGATATTTCCAAAAATCAGTCCTCGAAAACCTCCAAGAAAGGACATGGAGTCTACTGTATTTAAAATCTAGAGTTCATCTGCAAATCCTATTATATGTAAATAAGATTTTTCTTTGAAAACAAATGTTTATATGGATAACAATTACTACTTTCTAAAACCTTTTTAAATATCAGATATAGAAATCAAAGCATTCATTAAAACATCTTTGTCTTTTATGACTCAGAATTTCATAATGTCATGCACTATTTCCTGTATCTTTGTTACGTCTAATAGTACTAAATTCAACAAGACTATGAGACATAATTATGACACATGTGATACATGTATTATCATTTAGTAAATTGCATATTGGAGGTTAAATTATCCCATGAAAAGAGCTCAAAATAACCATTTGCAAGAATTATAATTTATGTTGCTAGTACCTGCTGAAGTTCATTTCTGCTTGTTATTTCAGAATTTGACTTTTTAATTATGGAAACTCCATTATCATTAATACTTCTCTTATTTCTTGATTATTATAAGAGGAGACTCAACCTTTCTCTAAATTTAGAAACCAATTTGGTATACCATGTTTACTGCAAACCAATCATCCAAACAATTTCATTTTGCAAATTAGCCTGTAAAAATAAATTAGAAATTAGGAACAGCATTTCAAGCATGGGAATATCTGTTTTGGCTTGGAAAAAATGTATTTGTATGGTTGTTTAGAAGAAATATTTTAAAATTTATAATTTAAATGCTATCAAAATTCCAAATTATTTAATATCTAGATGGTATTATAGATAAGGAGCATTTTTTTAAAAAAAGATTTATTTATTTTTAGAGAGAGAGAATCTCAGGCAGACTCCCCACTGAGCGCAGAGCCTACTGCAGGGCTTGATCCCACAACCCTGAGATCATAACGGGAGCTGAAATCAAGAGTCAGCTGCTCAACTGACTGAGCCACCCAGGTGCCCCAGATAAGGAGCATTTCAAATAAAACTCAAGTGTAGGGGTGACTGGGTGGCTGACTTGGTTAGCGTCTGCCTTCAGCTCAGATCATGATCTTGAGGTCCTCGAATCGAACCCTGCGTTGGGCTCCCTACTCAGTGGGGAGTCTGTTTCTCCCTTTCCCTCTGCCCCTCCTAACTCCCCTCACTTGTGTGCTCTCTCTCTCTCTCTCAAATAAATAAAATCTTAAAAAAAAACCCATCAAGGGGCGCCTGGGTGGCTCAGTCGTTAAGCATCTGCCTTCGGCTCAGGTCATGATCCCAGAGTCCTGGGATCGAGCCCCGCATCGGGCTCCCTGCTCCGTGGGAAGCCTGCTTCTCCCTCTCCCACTCCCTTTGCTTGTGTTCCTGCTCTCGCTGTCTCTCTCTCTCTCTCTCTGTCAAATAAATAAATAAAATCTTTATTAAAAAAACCCATCAAGCATATATTTCTTGCTATTTAAAAAAAATTGATTATTTAATCAGAAGAGCAAGTCGTTGTTGGAAGTTACCACCGTTACTGTTAAGAAGACTACCTCCACCCCTTTAAGCTCTTTTTCTCTCCATTGCAACTCCCTGCCATTTCCTAGGCATCTCTAGCCCAGGGGCTGTAGTAACTGCAATAATGTAAAAAAAGACAAAAACCAGTGTGACTAGTAGAATATTTGGCTTCATGATTATTTCCAAGGTGATGGGAATAAATAATGTAGCAAACACAGCTCATTAGAATAAACCTTCACTAAAAAGTCTATGGGCAAAACCGCTTATCTCCACCCACAAGTCATTATAATGACCTCCCAGTTCAGCCTTTTGCATCATCACATCTCATAATAATAAGAAGAAAAGGAATCCTTAACAAGACTCAGGGCAGTGAGCATTGGCAACTGTCTTGAGGATGTCTCCCACAGTCACAATTTCCTTTATGGGCCCTCGATTTACTTGACGCAAAACTTCAGACCATAAGCCATGAAAGCCCTGCTCTGTCAGAGCACGTCTTCTCTCTGTGGCAAGACATATTGTGGTAATGTCTCTCTAGTGTTCCTTCCTTATCTGTAGGGATGTTATTCTGCCTCCTAATCTTTTTTTTTTTTTCACATTAACATTAAGATCTGATTCTTCCTTTGTTCATTTATACTTAACATTTTTTTCCTTAAATTTTAGAAATAATTGTAGCTCTAGATAATCCTTCTAACTTCACAGATCTATAGTTCTCTCTTTTGTTCTATTTGTGCAGTGTTCGAAAAATTTCGCAGCTTGCTTTCTGGAGCTATGTCCTCCCCTAATTTTATCTGGACCTGCTATTTCCTTTGACACTGCTGTTCCTGTGGTGCTCAATTTGCATTCTCCTTGCAACATTTTCTCATCGTGATGGAACTTTGTCCTAGTAGTAAGTTTTGACTCCTTAGTCTGGGACTTCATGGGACCCAGACTTCTGTGGCCCCTTCAGAGTTCACTGCAAACTCTTTATGCTCATTCATTATTAGAGTATAAAACCCCTCTCAGCTTTCTGAAGTTTCCAGTGAGTACTTCTTGGCTCTTTAGGGTTCTCTAGTCTGTCTGATGTCCCTTGCTTCCCTCTGTCCTGCAAAGGTGTTGGTATAAGCAGGTCTTACAGCTGTCAGTGGTTAACTCCTTTACCCATTCATATTTTGTAGTATATGGGAATTCCTTGTCACCTACTTTTGAAGACTATCCCCATGGGTGTTTGGCTTTATTGTGCTATTATTTGTTTCTTTTTATAGGCTACTTTGAGGAAATTAAAAAATTATGCCACTTCTGCTGTCATCTTCCCAGAATCCCCACAACTGAATTCTTGATCCCAATGGCCTTTCTTGCACTAAACAAGCCCACCCCATTTCAGTAATGGCACCACCATCCACCACAGATGCAAACGTGAAATCTGAGGGTCACTCAGGCTGCCCCCTCTCCCTCACTAGTAATATCGAATCTATCAAGACCTACTGACTTTCTGGCTTCCACACTGGAGCCATTCTTCCAATGGAAGATACGTGCCATGCTTTGGGGCCATTCTCACATTTGGGGATTATCTCACATTATGTACCCATTTCCCAGAGTAGATGCTAGCTACTCCATTTTCCCGGTTCTCATGGTATATATTCTATGCAAGTGAATGCACCTTTTTGAGATTTCATTATTAGAGAGCTATGTGAGAACCCAAGAATCCATTTTCTGGTGAGGTTAGTAGTGGAGGCTTTCAAGCTTTAGGGAGTAATGGTTGCATAGCTGGTAGTCTCTAGCAGTCAGTGTAGGTGATGACTGTAGAGGTGCTTGGGACTACCAGAGCAGCAGTGGGTCTCCATGAAGCAGTTTCCTGGTTAGGGTTGAGCATCTTCCCAGTCGGATAACCTCAAACACAGACTCTCTGGTCTCCCAGAAAGACCTAACACTCTTTAATAAATTGCTTTTCTATTTAAACTAGCTTATGTCAGTTTGCTACTGTGGCGGCAGGGATACACTGATCTTTCTGTAGTTGCTGTTATGCACCAAGCACAGTCTCATGCCCTCCACTGATCTGTCTTTTAATATGTCCTCTCAATTACCATCTCCCCTCTCTTCAGAAAGTAGGAAGAAGAAAACAGTTCAGGCTTTTTTTTTTTTTTTTTGGTCACCTTAATTGTTGAGTACTGTTTATCACAGCAGTGATTTTCACTCTAAGGAGAGACCAACTAGAAATTACTTTTTCTCTCCTCAAAGAGTTCGGTGCATTTCCCCATATCCAAAGTCCCATATAGCATTTTTAAAAAGCATAAAGAGCCTGGAGCTTCCTATATCTGGTATATATTTGCTTATTTTTTATGGAGCCTGTATTTTCTTGGGTTTTCTTTTGGCCTCATTAAAACAACTCCATCATCTCCTTAGCTGTGATAGATTTTAAGTTCAGGACACAGAGGTAAAGTATAAAGTCATTTTGAAGGTAAAGACATTTTTAAGGAAACTTGGGGAAATTAGAAACTTTTTAAGATCAAGACTGTGTTTGGCTGGAGAATCTACGATACAGAATTTTTCAGATCTCAGTCAGATCCTAGGAATGATGAAGTTTCACCTAAGGAGAGAAAAAGATCTGAGAATTCTGTTTCTGACATCCGATCAATTTGTTTTGGAAAAATGTTACATGCTTCCTGATGCATTTGAAGATGAGCACTTGCTAGATTACTGCTGAGTACCAGAGCGGTCCTGAGGGGGAAAGTTCTCAGGAACTTGGCATTAAGCATTTAGGAAGAGTGAATATTGCACTTTGAGCCTCAGCGTGGGACTGGATTATAATAATAGAATCCATGAACTGTGTGACCTCATGGAATCAAGTCTCAATCCTGAGAGAGGAATATGGCATCAAATCTGTCCTGTTCTTGTCATGTTAAAATCTCTAGAAAGATGTTTTCCAACCTCCACAGCAATTCCTCTTTTTACACGAACAAGTGCCTGTGTTCTTTTTCTTTCCTATCTTCAATAGCATTTGAGTCTACATTTTTCACTGCTTAGCCTGATTCAGGTTTGTATTTAAGTACATGTTTTAATGTCACTGTAGGCCTTACTAATTTACCAGGTGCCTTTTTTTCCCCTCAGAGAATGTATTATTTTGTATGTGGGAATGTAAGCGTGGGGAAAGAGCAGTTGCATTATTTCCCTCTGTTTTGCACATTTTCCCAGACACGTCAATATTACTTAGCACCACATATGCTTTAAGTTCCTAATATTTATAAATAATTTCAAAAACAATTTGCTTACATTTCTTTAGACATTTTATAAATGTTGTATTAATCTGAAATGCTTACCTTCACAGTATATTTAAAACAAATGCTGCAAAAATTGTCCTGTTACTGTTGAAATATTATAAATTAACTTAATTTGGGAAGATTATTAAAAGTAGTATTTATTTTTAAACTTACCAAAATGAAATAAAACGTTCCTTGAAAGCAAAAATAACTGACTTGCTAAAGGAAATCCAGCACAATGCAACATGAATTTATGTCCATGTGGATTAGGACACTGCTATCTGGAAAGAAAATATCTAGATAAAGTGAAAATATTTTTTCATCCATATTATTATATCAGTATATCATAGTTGCTTAAAACTGGCTTAAAGGACCAGCAGAAGTCTTGGAGCTTTTTTATTTTTATGTCTCTAAACAATTATCTTCCCCCCCCCCATTTTCTCAATCCAAATCTATAGTTTAAATCAGTTCAACAAATATTTACTGAGATTGTGGCATAAGATAAAACAAAATTACTACAAAATTGCCACATTAAAAAGAATGAATGAGGATTGTGGTGGTGGCTGCACAGCTCTAAATATTCTAAAAACCATTAAATGATA